ATTTTGCTGAAATGCTACCCCGCCCGGTCACATAGCAGCAGCAAATCACAAAAGACACGCGCCGGACTTTCTGGCAATCGCCAAAATGGTGCCTGACGTGGTCACACAGCACAAGGCCCAAATCCTTCAACTTTTCCAACAAAGTTCATTTCGAATTTTCTTTCACGAACTCTCAAACTGAAAAAGAAAAAAATTGCTACCACCTCCAGAGGTGGTAGCAAAATGCCCTTCCCCGCGGCCCGCCCGCCAGGCCACTGACATTTAATACCCCGTTTGCTGCTTTTGGCACTTTCGCTGCCTCGTGCGACTGACCCAACCATCAAATTTTAGCTATTGTTTGCCATTAAAGGCCCTAGTGCGAGTAGGCCCGAACAGAAGGTATGTCAGCCTCCAGTCATAGGAAACACGCAATGGAAGATTCAAAACCTTAAGATTCGACAGCCGAGAACCCACACAAACAAAAACCATATACTCCGGAAACGAACTCTGGCTAAGGAACATGTCGAGATCCATACCCAAATTTGAAGGGGGGGGGTAAATTGTGGCAAAAGACTCCCTCGTTCAGATCAGATGAGGGAGTCAAAAAAAAAAAAAAAAAAAAAAAGGGCAAGGCCTTCACTTCAGCGGACAAGGCCACTGGCAAAGAACTACAGCATAACACAGTCGAAGCGAAGTTAAAAACTATTGGCACTTAGATTAGCACATCAAAGCCTCCTTCTACATGTACATTATCAAATCAAAGCCTCCACAAGTGGATTAGCACATTGAAGCCTCCTTCTACATGTAGATTAGCAAACTGAAGCCTCCTTCTACAAGTAGATCAGCAAATCGAAGCCTCCTTCTGCAAGTAACAGGCATCAAGCTGAGTGAGAACTTTGTACAAGGTAGGTACAATGTAATGCCAAAGGGCAGAGAGCAAACCCAAGCCTTGTTTTTTGCTCCTCTCCCTTGTAGGACAGGACAACATACTCACTCAGAAGTCCAGAGTCCCCCCGAGGGTACCCTTGGCTGTCAGCGGTAGCCTTTCGTCTGTCACCGACGGAAGTGAGCATTGCCAGCACATCATGCCTCCGGCGTTGTGCATGGCTTCTAGCTAGCGGTCACAGCCACCTACCTTCCGTAGCTCAGGACACGGCAGTGCTGCCTGTAGCCTTCGAGCCCAAGAGGGAACAACTATTTGCCACTAGCCCACCGTACTTCAGGGTAAACCACTACCGACTGGTGGTAATGTGGCTGCCACCTTTTGTTCCTCAGGACACCGCAGGTGTTGCTCTGCTCATCCCCTCCAAGGACCAACAACCATTGGGCATGCTCCTCGCTGCACCACTAATCTAGCATAGCCGGCTACTGACTGTTGCTGTCACCTTTCATTCCTCAGGATATGGACTCCCTGGCTGTGGACTCCCCCTGCAAGGACGAACAAATATCTCTGTGGCAAACATCCTCGCCGCTACAGCTCTACTCTAGTGTTGCCTTCTACCCTCCAGCTTTACCTCTTGAACTCAGCCCTGGTTGCTCGCCATAGTAGTACACGTGCGTGCAGCCACAAAGCTCAAGTCAATACCATCGTCATCATGTTCCGCGCACCCACTGCTCCAGCAACGGCCGCCATCTACTTTCCTTCATTCGCTGTGGGTACGGCCGCATCTGCAAAGGATAACCGCTGTTTCCCCACACGCCTCCATGCCTCCACACGCTGTCATCGGCCTTTTCTTTAGACCAGCCTGCTTCCACCACTCGGCAGCAGCAAACACAGCTCCAAGGCTGTTGCGCACTCCCAAGTGAAAGAGACTGGGCAGATGAACACACACCTGACAAACTCCACCTACCCTCAAACTATGGCAGACTAGATAATACATATGGACCGAAAAATGGAGGATAATGCATGCAGCACACGAAGATGACGTAGGTAACATGGGAATGGCCAACCAGTGTGCTCCTGGAAAGTGGACGGTTGAAATGAGGGTCCGCTGCTGACACTGCGAGGCTACAGGGCTGCTTGGGGCAATTGCGACTTGGAGTCTTCGACGTACGCCTCTCCCAGGGGGCATACCATATTAGGACTTTCCTGCATATATTCTGACTGCAATTAGACCTGGTCCTGGATGTATCTGGCCGCAATCAAGTCCAGAGATCAGTCAAAAATTTGTAGTGTGAGTACACTTTCAGAAGCTCTCCCTTGAGATCTCCTCCTTTCTCTGGAATTGGGAGACGCGTCTGACCTAGAATCCTCCTAACAGAGCATACACTTTTTTTTTTTCTGAGACACTTTTCAGGCATCATTCAACCTTTCGCTTTCTGGCTGTTGACCTTCCCACTCACGAAACGAAAAAAAAAAAAAAGATGGTAGCAATATACATCATGGATAACAGATGCATCTTGCCAGCTTCTGCACAAAGATGCACTCGCATTTTCTTTTTCATTTCATGAGTACTGTGGAGAGGACCTCAGCCTGACTGACATCTTCAATTTCACCCCCAAACTGTCTCTCCCTTATTGAATGATCTTTTCGTTTTTGTTCTCTCATTTACACCTCAGTCTGAGTGCTCCAATTTAACCTTACCGTCGCTGTGCGGTTTCATCTACGCCGCCTCCGAGCCTACAGGCCAAGCCAGGTTCTGTGCTACACAGGATCAAGTACTTGAGCGAGGACCCTCACATTCACAAAGCACAGGTCGGAATGCAATTGCCATCCACCCACCTCATGATTCAATCAAGAACTGGTTGCATCATGCCTTCTGGCGGCCTCACCGTCTTCACTAACCCTTTCTGCAATGGCTTGCACTCGCTGGTTCAGCCCTTCCCTTAGGTTTGAAAGCCTTTGCATTGTTGGTGTTTCCGTAAGAGAAGGACCTTCTTTTGCAGCCGCAATTACAGCACCCGGTGTTGCAATTAATCCTGACATTGCATTTGAAGCAAGATCCAACGCTCCAGCTGCTGGCTGCGCATCCGTGCGCCAAAGACAAATAGTGAAGAACACAGAAAAAACATCCGTGACAAGTCAAGGAAAGACACGCAAGCGACCAGACCAGGCTGTGAACAACACCAAAAAACGTCAGCGACAAGTTTAGGTTGTAGAGGACTTTACAGAAGTTTAGACACTCGACTGACGAGCTGCAGGCAGCACACGCAATGCACCCAGGAAACGATGTGGAGAACGCAGAAAAGCGTCAACGACAAGTCAAGGAATCAGGTTGTGCGTTTAGGGCTTACGGTTTAGAGAACAACGCCAAAATACATCAGGAACAAGTCTAGGGTTTAGGGTTTACGGTCTAGAGAAGAACTTTAAACCACTATATAGTACATCTGAGCTTCTTTTTCCCGAGGCAGATTCCCCCTGCGCACGAAGTTTTGCCGGAACACCAGTGCGGCGCTTTTTCTTTTCTTTTGGCTGGAGCCACCAGTCATTTTGATCTGGTAACCCCCAGCCTCTTAATTTTTCGGAATGAGCTGATTCCAATTCTCAAGTTTGCCTGGGTCATTTACTGGTGGTTTAAAACACTCAACCAACCAGCTGTTGCACATCCATGTACCCAGGTGGAGAACGGAGGAAACCATCCGTGATAGGTCGAGGAATAAGGTTGTGTGTTTAGGGCCTAGGGTTTAGAGAGTCGGCTGCAGGCTGCGCATCCATGCACCCAGGTCAAAGTGTGGACAATGCAGAAAAACATCAGCAACAAATCAAAGACTCAGGTCGCGGACAATGCAGAAGCGCATCAGCGACAAGTCCAGAAATCCTTTTCTGTGTTGTCATGTCCTCGAAGAAAATCGGGGCTTCACACATGAAAGAGGAAATTTCTGGTCCGCAAGCAGTGCAGGGCGCTAAGCTCGGATAAGGGGCAAACAAAAAAGCACAGGAATCTTGTTGTGAACGATGCAGAAAAAAATAGTAGTGACAAGTCAAGGAAAGATGCTAGAGCGACCAGATCAGCGTGCGGACAACGCAAGAAAAGCATCATTGACAAGTCCACGGTTTAGGGGTTATGGTTTGGACACTCAAGCGACCACATCGGATCACCATCTGATAATGACAATCATGACCGTAAGTTAAATGAACAGGTGGCACCACTTGATGGACACACTCCTGCGACAAATTCGCACACTGGTTCAGTATTGCACAAAATGCTCAAGATGTAAGAATTTTGAGTAAAATTGAATTCATCATTCTCACCCTCTTTACTAAGGCAGCAGATTTTCTTACTGCATGCATTCTTCATTTGCCTTTCGCAGGTATGAATGTGTTGGAGGCTTCCTGAACAACCACACAACACAGGAATACCTGCACTGTGCCGAAACGGAAATGAAAGAGTCAAGACTCAAGAGTGGTGGCGAGTTAAACTCGGCGCACACACACACACACACACAAACACACACACACACACACACACAATCATTTGTATGTATGTTTCTTCTTTCTTGTATTTTTCTGTGTCCCTAGCTGAGCACCCTCAAGCAGTGCCAAACAGTCAGCCATTCCCCGTCTCCGGTGTGTACAGCACTCTTAGGAGGGCCGCTCAGTTCGGGATGTCTGTGTCTTCTGTGGGTGATGATGGATGTTCGTCTGGGTGATTCCCTGGCTCAGTGGGTGGTGGGAACCAACAATCTGCAGGGTTAACTCATGATGTGAGTCGGTCATGTGCTCCGTGTTGGATGTGTAGACTGTTTTGTCTGCGCTCTGCCGCTGCCTTGGTGCCCGTCCCGCTTGCTTCGCAGGTCTTCCTCGCTGCTCTGCTGCCTCGCCGCCCATCCACAGGCCTTGCCTTCCGTGTCTTTTGCTTGCTTGCCTTGTGGTTTGGTTGCCTTGTTTGCCTTGCGCTTCACTGCACGGTTGCCGAGCTGCTCGTCTGCTTGCCCTGTCAGCATTCCATGTCCTCTGCTTGCGTGGCTTGTAGTCTGGTCGCCTTGCTGATGTTGCCTTGCGATTCACTGCATGGTTGCCGAGCTGCTCGTCCGCTTGCCCTGCCGTACCTTGCAGTCGTCTTTGGCGATGAGCAGTTGGGCTGCTCTGGCAGCGTAGCCTGGTGCTTCGCTGAGTTGCTGCCCGCTGCTATGTCCTGCTTGGGGACAGTGCCTTCAACATGGGTCCACCTCCAAGGAGGCCACTCCTGGTACAGAAAAAGAGGCAGACATTTCTGTACTACTTGGGCAGAACCCTCACCCAAGACCAGATGGCCATGCTGGACAAGCCAATCACGCAGGAGGTCCGTGCAGCTCTCCACTCCCTGTAGCCTGACAGAATGCCGGGCCGAGACGGTCTGTACAAGGAAGTTTGGCAGACATTTTGGGCAACTTTTGAGGGCGAACACATGAACTTTCTCAATAATAGCGAAAGGAGCGAGGGACTGGGTAAATACAGCAGCACTGGGGTAATTACTCTCCTGTACAAGAAGGTGACCCGACGGACATCAGGAACTATAGACCGATCACACTGCTTACAGTTGTCTACAAGATCCTCGCCAAGCTGCTGGCAAACAGACTTAGGGCAATCACAAACTGCTGTTTCCACATTGGTCAGACCGGCTTCATCCCTGGGCGTCTCATGGGCGTCTCATACCGGATACCGTCATGACTCTAACAGAGGTGGTGCGATACATCAAGGACAAGCGACTGAACGCCGCCATACTGTTCTTCGATTTCGAGAAAGCGTACGACCAAGTTAACTGAAACTTCCAGCAACAATGCATGGAGCGTATGAGGGTCGGTCCGAATTTCCATCAATGGGTGCGAGTGCTTTACAATCAAGCTTATGGACAGGTGCAGGTAAATGGCTTCTTGATGGCCCCATACTGCATGACGCGGTCTGTTCGTCAGGGGGACCGTTTGGCTGCTCTGCTCTTCCTCTTCACAACGGAAGCTGTTGTGTCCTTCCTTGGCAAGGACCCCTCTGTCGGAGGACTCGTGGTGGAGCCAGCCCCGGACGACCATTGAGTCTCTCTCCCAGACACATTCCTTTTCGCAGACGACCTGACTGCCCTGATCCAGGCTTCCGAGTCGTCCTTTGAAGCCCTGACGTGAGCAATGCAGGCCTTTCACTTAGCTTCAGAAATGAAAATCAACTGGCACAAAATGATGGGGTGGTGGCTCGCGGACACCGCGGTGCCTCCCAGGGCCATCACCCTCGAAGGTTTTGCCTGGCAAGACCAACGGCTTCCGCTCCCCTTCCTAGGCATCCGCTTAACTGACGACCGCCCGGATCATGCGATGGCACTGAAGATCCTGGCCAAAATGATAGCCAAACTTGACACCTGGTTGCACATCTACACCCCCGTCTTTGGCCGAGCCCTTACCCTCAACGTGTCCATCTTCTCCATGCTGTGGTATGCAGCCACGGTGTGGACCCCCGAGACCAGTATGACAAAGACTCTTAGGCGAAGGGCCTCTGCCTACCTATGGACAGGCAACCCGGCGAAGTAAAACTTCATTTCCAAGGTGGCATCGATTATCCAGCCAAAAGGGTGTGGAGGCCTCGGCATTCAGGACCCCGAGATTCAGACAAAGGCCCTCCAGTCCAAGTGGTAGTCGAGCTACCCATCCAGCAAAACCACTTGGATCTCTTAGAACTGCAGAGGATCAGAGAAAAGGGCGTGGAGGCCTCGGAATTCAGGACCCCGAGATTCAGACAAAGGGCCTCCAGTCCAAGTGCTAGTCAAGCTCCTCACCCAGCGAAACCACTTGAATCTCCTTAGAACTGCACAGGATCAGACAACCACAGACAATTCMCCCCCCCCCCCCCCYCCCCCAACAATATGCAAAGCTTCTTCTGGATCATGTCAAAATCATGGGCTGGCAGAAGGGAGACGGATGTAGGACAGGAACAACCGCCGGCCAAGGAAGATTAGGCGACCAAGGATACCGGACGCAACTCTTGAGGACGTGGCAGGCAGTCTTCCCCGCGAAGGTGAAAGCACCCTCCACGAGGGAGGAGGTGCTAAGGCAACCTCTATTCTGTAACCAATGGCTATTGGACACCTCACAAAAGCCCTGGATGCTGATGGCCCGAGACGCTCTTGGGTGGAGAAGGGCATCTGGCAGATAAAGCACCTCCAGCACACAGAGCACAAACGCTAGAAGACCTGCCCCGAGATGCGTGAACACTGGAAGGGCTGCCACAACCTACAACAGAGCCTCAAACCTGCTCCTGTCCATCCCCTCAGCCAGCACTCCTCTCCTCGTCGCCCGCTTGGGGAATGGGCAACCCGTGATCGGGAAGACCCCCCTCCGGTGGCGTTATCTTTCATCAAATGAGTGGTCCCCCGGGAGGAATGGGGGCTGATGGGCCTCCATGACATTGAGGAGGTGGACCAAACAGTCAGCAGAATCGCTAGCGCCGAACGCAGGAAGCTGTCCGCCTCTTCAGCTTCAGAAAAGTCAGGGTACGGAAACATTTTTACAAGACCTGGAGTTCAATCCGGCAGAATGGGCTTGGAAACTCGCTTCCTCAGTAACTTGAGTCGGCTGCCGTGTCAGCATATTGGACTACTGCACAGGATTCGGGTACAGGCTGAGACGGAGATCAGCTGACACCAAGGACGTGCTGCTTCACTGCTGGGAGCGCACCATGGCGGAAGGCAGAACCGATTGACCAGAATTCCCTCGCCAGCAGTGCTGGCCATCTGCACCACGAGAGTCAGAAGTAAGCAATGGTTCCTGACCTACCAAGCCCTCCCAGCCAACAAGTGGCTGAGTACGAGAAGCGCACAGGCCAATAGACAGGACTTTGCTGAGTGTTGCCCGATCTGCGACACGGGGGCCACTGACGATATTGTCCACTGCATGCTGCACTGCCCCAAAGCCCAACAATTGTGGCACTGCACCGAAGAGGTATGGGGCCAGATCGCAGGCACGCAGCTCACAGAAGACGTCCTGGCTCGGCTTACCGGATTCGTACAAACCCAGAGTATGAAAAAGTGGACACAGAAGTTCCACAGGCGCCTCAGACCCCTGTTGCTGCGGGCTATCTGGAAACGACGATGCAACGAGACTATAGACACGCAGGAAGTCCCCTGGGGACAGGCCTGCGACGACTTCAAACGGGCCTTGAACACAGAATACCAGGCGGACTGGCGTAAAGCCAGACTGCAAAGCAAGCAAGAGCCAGAGAAGAGGCAGGAGGTAGTGGACAAGTTCGTAAGAGAGATGCTGGGCAACGGGAAATGGGGGTGCAGGACGGGAATCTGCTCAAGCGTAGCTGGCACTCACAGGGATGGGAAGAGCAGATCACAAGCTCCTCGGGGGAGGCTCGCTCGACACGTAGCGATATGGCGCCCGCTCGGGTGAGCTTGGCCTCTGATTAGGGGGGGCAGGCACAGTCTACAGCCAGTCCAAGTCGGGGACTTCTGACAGAATCTACAAAATACAGGCCGGTGTTGTTAATGGGTAAGCTCATAGGGGGAAGGGGTCCAGCTGAGAAGTACGTGCTGCGTTCATATTCTGTTTACAGCAGGATCTAATAATAGCTCCATAGGCTAACTTAGGCAGGGTGAGGGGTGGTACATCCTTCCAAAGGGAAGCAATCCTTGCACGTTACTGGACTTGCAGGTGGAATGGGAATCGGACCGGCCCTCCCCAGAATGGAGGAGCCAGAGCCACAACGTTCTGTTTTTGTTATTTTTTTATAATAAAAAAAAAGGTGCAAACAATGCAAAGATGTTGGCAAAGGCACAAACCCTACTGCCCCCTTCACGGGAAAACATTGCAAAGTCAGCTGTCTTTTTTAACTCACTTGTTCTCGAATATGAACGCCTGAGCGTTATATTCAAACAGAACTCTGGGCGTTATATTTGAATGTGGAATGCATTTAATGCCTTGCAGGTTGGGGGAAGGGGGGTATTCATGCGGTGTAAAGGGGGTTGAAAGGGGTTTTGACTTCAAAAGGTGTGCTTTGGTTTGACTTTTCTTTTCTCTTTTTTTTTTCATCTTTGAATTAGTAAGGAATCCTGAAGTGACCCTCAGCATTGCCGTTCTACACAACATATATATTTATATATTTTTACAGAATTTAAAATGGCATGAATGATTTTGTTTTCTTTAATTTCCGGGCCTCATTGGAGTTGATACCAATACCAATTTTGTAATTTACTGAATACAGTGCCCACTGCCCAGGCATTATAAACGAATATGGCTCCCGCCGGGTGTCATATTCGTATACAACGCCTGGCCGTCATGTTCTGGTGAAGACAGTAGTCCTTTCACTTTGCTAAGGCAGCATGAACCTGACATTTTAGAGACATGTTCAAGCTTCTTCACATGGACATAGCACCAATGGGGCCTGGACCATAGTCCAGTGGAATCCCTCACATGCTCTATTCTCAGTGGTTCTCACTCACCTTACAGATCACTCTGCGCACGCCATCATCCAGCCATTAGACATCCAATAGAGAAAAAGTTGAAACACATTTTCAACACAAACATTTGGATAAATGTCAGAAATGCAGGAATAATTTCCTTCCCCCAAAAATAACAATAAAAATTCATTCCTTCCGCAGTTAGCAAATCTGGTGGAAAGGGAGAAGCATGGGAGATGAAGTACCAAAGTTTACTGAACATGAAAGCTGGCCCACAACAGATGAACATAGAACCAACCAGAATCATCTACTTGGCGGCGCATTCAACTACTGCCTTCCCTCCAAACATGACACACCATAATCATGACCGTACTGGACCGGAAATATAGCTTGTATACATTCAGGATTGGTGTGCACCGGAATATAGCTTTTCCATCTTCATGATTGGCGTGCATTGTGTTCCGCGGAGGACTGTAGGGTTCATCTCATAGTTGCGGCGCACGTCGGCGCGCCGGTTTGCGCACGGTTTGCGCACGTCGCGCCGCGCACCGCACAGCGCACTGAAGCGCAGCGCACTTGAAAAATTAGGTCCAAAAAAAAAAAAAAAAAATGTAGGGGGTTTCTAATTTCTTAGGGCCYCCAACTCAGCAAAAATGTTAAACTCACCGCGCAAGTTCACAAACCGGCCGCGCCCATGGCCCGAACTTTTCTTTTGGGTAAGGGCTGCTGAAAATTCGATTTGCGCAGGCCCTTCCCCAAAAAGTTTCCAATGGCGAGGCACAAAATAGGGCTCATTCCAACTTTTGTTTTAGGCGGGGTATGAGAGCTGTCCTTCCCGCTGCCTTCTGCAAATCCCACACAGTAGTGGGGTCAGTTCGCAAGAAGGGGTAGTCGCCTAATAACGACCTGCCCCGCGTAGCTTCGCAGAAGTCGCAAATCGCATGTTCTATTGGCAGCCGACCACCAATATATGCTGAAGATTGGCGTTCAGGTCCGCATGTCGGCAGTTATGGGTTAGGATGAAGATGCCCGTGGCTCTCACGTTTTTTTGTTTTTGTTTTCTTACAAATACGTCCAGTGGGGCCTGCTCCACTACTCACCAAATGCACAAAAGACATAGCATATGGCGGTGTATGGTTCCATGTTTCAGCAGAAGATTCAT